AACACTTGTCCGCTAGGGTGTTTGTCAATCCGGGAACGTGAGTTGCAGACAACGTCAGGCCTCTTTCCAGGGCCCACGACCACATCTCCAGGGCCAAGGCTGCCAAATCTGGCGACCTTGTTCCCCCCACGTGATTCACATATGCAACGGCTGTTGCGTTGTCCAGCCTTAGCAGATCATGCTGAGTATCTGCGCTCACAAAGCTTCTTAGCGCCAGGGAGGCCGCTTTCAATTCTAGTCAGTTGGTCACAGTGCATGCGCGCTTCTGTTTGCGACCAGCGCCCGCCTGTCTCCTGACCATAACAATGCGCGCCCCATCCTTCCAGTGAGGCATCCGTGCAAATTGTGAGGTTTGACGGAACAAAGACTTTACTTCGCGCACATGACCGATCCACCACTGTAGATCTTTTACTGCATCTGGGGTTAGACTGACTAAAGAGACAAAATTCTCTCGGCTTCTTTATGTCGAAAATTGAGAAGCTGTTGCAGAGCCCGGAAAAGTAAGGGCCTTGGAAGAATGGCTTGCTTGGCAGACTCTAACAGCCCCACCACGCTGGCTAGCTGTCTGATTCCTATCACCTCCTGTTCCAGAAGTGATAGGCAAGAACTCACTACCTTGTCTAACTTGTCTTCGGTTAGGTAAATTGTCAAAGTACGAGAATCGAGAACAAGGCCTAGGAAAATCGCTACCTGAGACGGTACCAACCGCGACTTCTCCAGGTTGAGAACAAACCGAGTTGCTCTAGAAGCTCTCTGCCCATAGCAATGTGCTCTAAGCATCGTTCCCTCGACCTTGCAATGATCGGTAAGTCGTCTAAGAAAACTACTACTAGTAATCCAGGGGTCTCCCCAAGCAATGAAACAAGGGCGCTGCGCCTCTCAAAAAATTTTCAAATGTAGGGTCTTCTCTTCGTACTTTTTGCTTGTGTTAGCTTGGCTAATTCGTGAAATTTTGCTGATTTGGGGGCCAAGCGGCGTCACTATGCCCATCGGTATTGTCTGACAAAAGTTGTAAAAAGGCGCTATTTGAATAACAATAGTCCACTTTGCTACACAAAATCAATATGTTTGGTAAAATGTTGACACCCTGCTGGCATTTGAAAATCCTATTTTCATGTAAACAACGCTAATTTCTCCATGAAATACAGCCCAAACAGTCAGAGAATAGATTTTTAGGGGCTAGTATATGGCGATCGTAACGTGGAAAATCCCCTTTCAAAATTCGGCAACATGGAAGAAAAATAACTCACGAAAATCTTCCCTTCAAATGAGGAATCAGTGCTCCAACAAATTAAACATATAGAGAAGAACATTTCTTCTTTGTTGTGACCTTGTATTCAATCCATTTTTACGAGTTTTGGACACGTTTTCGTGGCCTTGAACATAGAAATGTGTAGCGCTCGGCACGAGGTCGGCCATCTTGTTTTCTTCAAATCTCCCGATATCTCGCGAGATTCAGTGAGACTTGGGCAAAAACACTGCAGTTTTGACCAAAACCGCTAGATGGCTGGGGTAGAATTACAGGTTTGTTGTTGTAGGGACGAAAAATGTAACCCTTTAGTTTGAGGAGTACTTGTTGTAGCTATAGTTAAACTTTGAACGGTTGGACTTAGAAGTGCTCGAAGGGGCTGACTTATAAGCCTTACTCAAAGTGCGTCTAGCCTAATCGGCTGAATTAACCTTCTCCAAAAAGGTGTCTCCAAATAAGAAGGGGAAGAATCTGAAGTTCCCGAGCAGGTCGCTACATTTTTGAGCGAGGACTTTACTCACAAATTTGGAGTTTAACTGCTGCCAACAACTACTCTACTAAAAGGTTAGCAGCCATGAGCATCTTATCCTGGCAATCACTAAAATTCTTATCAGTGTTTCCGGTATCATGCTTGATCATATTAGCCACTACTGGGTCTAGAATCGGCGCCCGAAGTGCTAATTCAACATTAGGTGGAGTGGGAAACGTTTTCCTTCCTCTCTTCACTAAGGGTTCGGACCATCCTCTAAACCCGATGCTGTTTGCAAAGCGATAGAATCGTCTTTGGTGTTTTTTGGGATCAGCTTCCTCTACTATGACTCAGTATAGACGTGAAATGTGTGGCAAGGACATGAAACAAGATATGAAACATGTCTTCAAGACCGATTTTTGCCCACCGGTTCCTCCAAATACTTATTTGAAGTTATTATCGTAGGGATTATCAAACGACAAGGAGTTACCTTCGTCAGAGTCAGAAAAAGGTGATTTTTTTTTTCCTTCCTCCGAACACTCTTCCACTTCAGAACCTGGATGCTCTCGCCGGAACCGACTACACCGGCTCGGCTGGTCGACGCTACCACCCCGTCAACGTCCCGAGGTTGACGGGATGAACTGGACGCCTGAGGAAGTCCCAAGCTGGAACTGATCCACTGAAGAAAAGAGGCAGCGTCGAATCCAGGCGGGAAGGTGTTTCTGATGGAGGTGGGGGTGGAGGAGACTTTTTCCCCACCAAGCTTCGGCATGGTCGGGGAGCCCAACTCCTCCGAGTCCGGAGGAAATTTAGGCCGGGGCGGCGGCAGCTCCGCGCCGTCTCCTTCCTTGACCGATGTTCCCGGTGCCAACGCCGATGGGGCATTTCGCTCCCAAGCGGCGGATGTTCCCGGTGCCAACGCCGATGGGGCATTTCGCTCCCAAGCGGCGGAATGAGGTTGGAGTTCTTCTCTTTTTCCTCCGAACCTCCAGCTGTAGGAGCGGGGACTTTTCGTTCACCCGACTCCTCTTCCTCCTGTCCGGAGGCATGTGCAGGCACGCCTGTATAATTTTTCCACTAGCGTTGGGAAACAGGCCGCTTCTCTTGCCGTTACGACCCGTCTGGTCCTCCGAAAGGCTACCTGAATCGCCCTCGTGGGCAGAAGACTTCGTTTTATCCTTCTTTTTGGGCCTAACGCCGAAAGAAAATAAGGAGTAGGGAAACGAACGTGCACCCCTCTGCGAAGGCACAAGGAAAATGGCGGCGAACAATGTCATTACGTCATGATATCCCGTGATGCTTTGCGATTAGAGCTTTGTACACGTGCGCCACCTAGCGATAAGCATAGGAAATACTGCATAAGGTAAATGATATACCCAAATAGGGAGTGTGCAGGTATAATCGGATGTTAAATATAAGTCATATCATGTCCTTATGTCAAGCTTTTATCATTTGTTAACACCATAATATCATGGCCACAATACAATCCACACATGTACATGTACTACTAAAATGTACTAAAATTGACTCTACTATTTTGGATACTTACAACTTGTTTTTTTGACTCAGGCACCAGGCTCGAGTTTTCTAGTACATCTGGAATGGGAAGATAGGTTGCAGTTTAGTGAAAAAAATGTGACAATACCAGCAAAATTTACATCTAATTTACTTCATTTGTTGTCAAAAATGATAGGATGTGGTGTAAGTTCTGACCAGGCTCATGTAACCAAAAAAGCTGCATGATACTCTCACCTTTCATGCATGTCAAATTACATGCAAAACATGCAGTTTGCATCGACATTAAATATTCTAATCACATGCAACATGCAAAAATTGCAAGACATGCAACATGCAAAATGCACTACACAGCAGTTGTAGGGGTGGGATGGGGTTTTTGATGTGAGGATTTGGGAATAATTACCTCCACATAGGCATTGATACTCTAGACTTTTTCGAAACAGCACAAACCCTAAATCATAAATGTTTTTCACAAGTCATATGTTGACCTGAATTCTGACCCAGACATTTTAAACCTGATTACACATTGTCTCCATAATGGTTATTTTTTGCAGCTGAGGAAAACAAAATGCTGCCTTTGAGGAGGTTTCTAGCCTGGTGTCCATCTGTTTTTACGTCCAAACTCAGTTGCAAAAAAAAGAAAGCAGAGCAGACATTGGAGTCAACCACTAAAAAGGATGAATACCAGGCTAGGACTCAGTAGGTGGTTTGCACTCTACAGATGCTTTTTTTAAGGTTTTCAAATTTTTGCATGTTCCAACTCACTGAAACTTGCAGCAACCCTCGTGCCTTTGTAGGCCCATCTGGTGATTGTGTAGTCAAAATCAGTGATGACCTAAGGTAAGAATTAACACAAATCAACTGTAAACCATGCGCTTTTGCAGGGACGCATTTCTCTAGCAACTTACTGTGACACGTGGCACACCGCTTCCCATTGATGGAGAAACGAGACAATGTCATGTCAAAGTCCGTGATTATCTGGAAAATGGTTGGAGAGACAGAACATGGGTTTATTTACAAGACGGAAAGTAGACACTACGAATTCAATACTTGCTTGCATCTCCTCCACTGTGGGTATTATAATCAGCTACTAGTAGTTGACATTGAATTTAAAAGTGATAAGAATTTACAACAGCTCAGAGGGAAGACATTGTAGATACATGTACAAATACAAACTGTACAAGTGTATAGGAAAAATGTACATCAATTGTATTACAAAACATTACTCTACCAGAGATAAGGCACACAAAAATGCTTGTCATGAACTGACAAAGATAATCTTTTCAGTGAAATCTTTCAATAAATGAGATGGTCTTTACTGTCTATGAAGTATTTTATTTTCACTATTGTCCATTTATCGGACCAGACCAGACAATGCACCTGTAGTTTACTCTTGCCATCCTGGATGAGCTGACACAGAAGTTTCTCCACTCTCTCTGCATCCTTGATGTAAACATTCTCCTTCTGGAGTTCCTCCATCTGTGAAAAGCATGACATCACCTTGTAAATCTTTACCTGATAATAAACGCAAAGAACATACAGTAATGAGTACAGGGTTGTGTTAGCCTAGGTGCCATCTATTTCGTAATTCAAGTCGACTACTAGTACATCTTGTACTCTACACAATTCAGTTTTAAATCCCAACCATTGACTAGTCTGCTGCCTTTTCCTCCAACCAGCATACATATGATGCTGAAAAGCTGACCCAGTTGTCTGGAGGTTAACCCGTTATTTCGGTTCATTTGCATAATACACCTGTTTTCTATCTACAGATTTATGCACAGATTCTGCAGAAAAATCCCCACCCTTCATTTGGTACAGCCCCTTGAGGAAACAGGTACTCATGAATATTCATGACTTGGGCTCTGCACCAAAACAGATGATGCAACTGAGTCAGCTGCTACTATAAACAGACCCCACTTCAGTCATTGGCATCACACACCAAATTAGAAACTGACCAAAACAAACTGACTATACCATTGCATTAGAAACCTTATATAACCCTAAAAGAGTATTACATATACTCACACATCCATCTTACAGGAGACAGTGCTTTATTATTTTACAGATGAGATTCAATGATATTCACCAAGTCCTTGCATTCACCCAAAAACAAGTTGTCTGCTGTGAATATTCATTACGAAAATGAAACTTTGATTGATAATAAGTCCCACAGGGTCCTCTCTGTACATAAAAGTATCGGTTGATTGATCAATCAATGAGTAAATTATGACGTCTGACCTACATTTCAGTTTTGCTAGTTAAGTAATAACGTTTAATATACTGTACATGGGACAACACATCTGTTAGTGTTAGTATTTTTCTATACAAGTAACTGTGTATGAATATGCATAGCATCCTTTAGATTATGCTCACTCTCCAGAACATGGAAATTAAGGCTGTATAACATGAAAAATTAATATTCTATTCTCCTCTGGCAAACTGATGTGTTTCATGATACTGTTATAACTTTACCATGGTATGTTATGACATTATTTTTAGTGCCAAGAAGCAAGATTGGCATATTCTCAGATAAGGACAAGTGTGCCAAGGGTAAGGTCAGGGTACCAGGGTTCATGTTTGTTGTTATGAACAGAAATAGCGACAATTCTTGCACTGTAAGCTCTGTGGGCAGATAGGATGTTTGGAATGTTGATCTGAAAGGGCAAAATAAGCTGCAGAAGTTAGGCTTTATTAGCTTTTAATTTAGACTGTTCACGAATCAGTTCATTTTCTTTTTATTAGTGATCGATTAGGTCCATAAAGTGATCATTAATGAACAATGTCTACTAGGACTCGGAGAGAGGTCGATGATAACAGAACCTGAGAGGATCCATGGTGGATGCATAACAGAACCTGAGAGGATACCAAGCTGTCTTCTCACTACTACTGAAAGTCTCAAGTACATGTACCGGTTGCCCTGCCAAAATATTACAAATGCCAATGGAAGCCACACCTTAACACTGTCATGGAAATGATTATTATTATTGTAATAATTATGGTAGTTGTCTAAAGTGGTAGCTAGTTGTCTAGAGATGTAGCTAGCAAATTCCCCTTTTGCAAAAAGATGGATTACAAGTTTCCCTGTGAGTTGCGGGTGCAAAGTCTGCAATACAAACATCCTATCAAAATACTGGGAAGTCTGACGACGAAACTTACATAATTTTCATCACAGCTGACGTTATTGCGTAAGTCAGTTCGAGAAACTCACAGCTTTTATTTGCGACCTGTTGTTGATGTTATCGTTTGTAAACAGTTCATTCCAAACAAACATACGGTACCTGTGGCATCTGAACTATATTAATTCTTCTTGCAGTATACATATACGTTAACATTATTTGCAAGTTTCATGATAATAAATTGACATTGCATAACGGTATTAAAGGGAAAGCAGCCTAAGGTACACCCACCTAAAAGTGATTGAAACATAATTGAAGAAGCCTTGGTTCCTTTTTGAACCTCCTTGGTTCAATGTTGGAGCCTTTTGAATTGATTTCTATAAATTGATTGAATTTGTACCATAAATCACCCACCATTTCAATGATCTTGGTCCGTTTCTTTGGGCGCCGGCCGGACAAAAGGTATCCGGCCAGAGCGGCCCCGGCCAGGGCGCAGGCGGCCCCGGTCACCACCGCTGCCGTAGTGTTCCAGCCCGATGTCCTCGCCATAGCTTGTTCGGAAGGAGAAAGAGCTAACAACCGCTGCAGCAGGATATTTATAGAGAAACCAGGACGGATAAAATACGGCAGAGCGACGCCAGAAATTTAATCTATGGAAAGACCAGTAGACGATACCAGTTATCAGAGGTCACCGGTCGAATATTATAACGTTACAGCAAATAAAAATTCTTTCAAACTGTAGAATTTAACCAGCTTTCCCCAACTAATAGGACCTATAGTACATTATAAATTAACAACATAAAATCATATAGGATTAGATGATTAAGTGAAATTTCACTACGTTATCAAAATATTTTAAATCATCCCCTACTTTTAGAATAAACTCGACCAATGACCTAGTAGGGGCAGTACGTTTTACTTAGCCAGGGACTTGGTACAGGGGTCTGCTTCCCCCAGTATTTATTACATTTGTTATATTAAGTTGGTATAAGATGACATTCGGTTAAATATGCCTAATTACTAATCATATCCTGCATTCTTCTTACTGTTAGGTTATGTATACATGTATCATAAATTTTTGCTCCTCCCCCCGAAAAATCCAACTTTAAGTCACCATCCCCATTTTGAGCGCATCAAATCAATGGCATGAAATTGTTATTATGTGACTGATTTGTACACGCAGACTTCCTATACGATACCATACTATATTAGATAAAATATTATTTATATTAATATAGTTATTTTAAGCCTTTTCTTATTTCTTAAAGGTCTATTGGTGCTGCCGTTACACATTACGTTCCTTCCTTACTACTTTTCGTTGTGTTGCGATGAACCAACATGGCGGCTATTATGAACACTTGGAAGCTGGAAAACGCGTTGGACTACACAAACATGAACACTGCCAAAAAACTAGCCTTTGCCGTGGCTACAGTCTTGATAATCATCCATGGGGCTCGGATATACAACAACGGTAAGTGTCAAGTCGTTTCTTTAAAAGCGAATCGCCGTCTTCGTTGTAGAATCTTGTTCAGCATTGCAGATGAGTTGGCCAACATGGCACTTGCTTGACCGGATTTTCTAGTACATTAGATCGGTCGGGTGAAACAATGTCAATAATTAGAAGTAAAGCAGGTGCATCCCACAACAACAAATAAACAAAATAACAATAATAACAATTTCATACCAGTAATAAAAGCGAGCAATCACCTGATCAGATATGAATAATCAATAAATATTAATATAATGTCAAGGATGTTGAACACCATTGTGCGTGCCTTGACAGTTTTACAAAGCCTTGTATTTGTACTAGGGTCACCTTAGTTTTCACCTCAACTCACTACAGAGGCACATAGCAGCCTGCAAAATCTGCACAGTTCAAATTGCCATAATTTTTCACTTATTACACACAAAGCAGCTTTGAAATTATGTGGTAAATTAAACATTGACGTACAATTTAAAAGGTACATTGTATTTTATATCCAAGAACAAGCTATATACCTGTCAAAGAGGCTTATGTTACATAGTATCAGTAAACATGCAATGGAATTCTAATCTCAAGTTGGTGTAAAAGTACAGACAAAGAGACTATATGCATCTGTTCTCGTGCATTCTGTTTGTAATCCTTTTGTAAACAAGTTGTTTGCTAAGGACTGTTTTGCTTTTCAAGGATTGTGAGTAATGTTGTTGTTGTGCTTTTTAGTCACGTCTGCAATAATCAACATCTAGACAACGTAGATATTTACAGTCAAAGGTCAGGTTATTGCTTGCACTTTTCACATCCGTTTCTGGGTTCTGAAGTTTATACCAGGGAATTCAAGCTTTGCCATCATTTTAGAAATTCACACACCATTAAAGTTTAAAATGCTGTACATACTACATGTACAAAGAATTTGATCCTTAGTCCTCCACATTTTTTTTATACATGTGCTGGTATATTTACATATTGCAATTGTAATTTGTATTCCAGGTTTACCATATAACAATGTGATTGTGATTCCCTTTCTTCTGTAAGATTTTCAATGTGTATATTAAACAGTCAGTTAAATCAGAGTTATTGAGGCCTTAAGGTTGCATGCACTGTGGTATTGATAACTGTACTCAACTGTTTATGTCTTCACAGGAGGTGACACCTGCAACAACCTGTTGTCACAAGGACACCTGGCAGCTGATAAGAAATGGCAGCCAGAAGGATGTATGCTGCACAAGTACTCTAAGATGTAAGGTCTCTTCCTAGTCTAAGATTCTTCGCATGTACTTGTGTCATATTGTTTCTCAATCCACTGGATGAATGGGCCTTTTTTTTACAGGATTGGCATAAGGCTAGGCAAGCCTGTGTTTTGTCTTAAACATTGTTCATGGGAGCAGCCATCTTCCTCACCTGACACAGCTCAACTAATCACCACTGTTCAAATTTATTACTAGTATTGTTCTTTGCATTGATATCATCAGTTTGCTGTACATTGCTGTATTTTTCAACAATTCATTGAAAAAAATCTTCCTTCAGGGACACAAGAAAGTGCCTAGCAGAGAAAACTTTCACTTTCGTTGGAGACTCCAGACAGAGGCAGCTGTACTTCAAACTAGTCAAGACTATCAGCATTTCACCAGTGAAGGAGGGAAAACAGGTAAATACAACATGTACTTTGTACAAGTAATGCTTCTAGAGATGCCATCTTTTGTTTTACTAGACACTGCCTTATCGGCATACCCTTTCACCCCTTAAAGAAAAATCTTTGCAATAAAAATGGAAGTCTATCTATGTTAATTTCTACACTAGTAGTAATATGCTGTGATGTATTGATTGTGCTCTGAGACCATAAGATATCTATGAATCCCAACCTAACCTGTTTGTCAATGTTCAAAAATCCAATTTTCATCCTACTGATATAGGTTGCAATCATACAGGGCTCAGTATGCAATGAATGTGGTACAACATAACAGGCCCAAATGTGCAGTCTAATGTGTTTTTTTTTGTATTTTTCAGCATGAAGATATTGTTTACCATGAAGAGGACACAGGCATATCTGTGGTAAGTTCAATCAACAAAAGAAAGATTCGAAAGTCAATGAAATTCTGTAGAAATATCTTACAAAATATTCATAAGCTAAGAAGCATATCTGATAGGTATAAAAACTGAAAGCTTTGTATTATCTTATTGTCTTCATAGAATTATTTCTAATTTCCTTTACCAGTCTTTGAGTCACAACACACGTGTAACAACATGTGTTATGTTGATGCAAGTACATGTATTGTTATAAAATTAAATACCTACATGTTGTTACTTGTTCAATCCTGCAATATGGTGCTTCCGTTGTGTTTTGTAGAATTTCCTATGGCATCCAATGGTGAACGGGTCCATGGAGAAAGTTTACAGGGAATGGAAAGAGGTAAGGTGTAGAAAAAATACCAACCCTGTTACACAGGTTGGATTATCATTATTATGGGTTTTCCTTTTTTTCCAGCTTCAGTTCCATGTTCTAGCTAGTGAATTGATGTTTAGCACTCATTTCTGTCTTGTTTTTTTTTTCCAGGGGAATCAGAAAAAGCCTAGTATCATCATCACTGGATCTGGAGCGGTAAGTTCACATTACTACTAAACATAACCAAAAATTATGGAAACTTACTTTAACATTGATCTCTGTGTTGTCCAACCATGTATATCACTGTGTCTTCCTGCCATGGTTTATATGTACATGCCAACAGGTACATACATCATTAAGAACTGTCTTTTTCCTCTTTATAGTGGACCATCAAACAGATGAATGCCAGTGGAAAAGCCCTACAAGAATACCAAGGTAAATAGCTAAATTTCTTTTAAAAACATCATTTAGAGCCTTGCAAGTCTAAAATTTATTTTTGGTGTCTACATGTGTATCTAATTTCTGCATGGGACTCAATGGTGATAGATCTGTATGTGGTTTTCAACTTTAAAACTGGTTAGAATAAAAACATCCTTTGTTCCAGCTAACCTGACTCGGCTACGACCAGTGATGGAGGAAGTTGCCATAGAAACAGATGTGTACTGGATGCTGCAAGGTACATCACACCTTCATACATATGTGCTCTCTTCTGTTATGTTACTACTTACCAACCAGCTGACACAGACTAGTCCCCTGGTAGTGGTGTGTGTATACTTTATCTTGAGTACTGAATGATGCTAATACATGTATTGCATGTAGTATATTCAAGGTAAGCTTTACCCACTATGCCATTGTAGTGGTGACCATGTACATAATATGTAGAAAACTGCATTCTCTCATATTACAGACCCAGTCAACAACACCCAGCTTAGTAAGGAACGAAAGATGATCACCAACACACAGATTGACAGCTACAATGATGTTGCCATGGAGATTTTGTGAGTATTATGGGTATAGAATCAGTAGATGTACGTTTATAAAGAAGAGTCGATTTTATACCTATTATCATTTAGGTGTTTGCATCTTACCAGCACAAACTCCTATGTATAGATGTGTGACTAGGTTAGTTAACAAAAGTAACATGTTGTTGTACATGTACAGTGCTGGCAGCCATGTTGGTGTCCTACAGTCCACCCACCAAGCTGCCTCAGAACTGCTGCATGTGTCGACTGATGGGATTCATCTGGGGGAGCCTGCACTGGATATTGTGAGTACAGTTTTTTGTTTAGCTGAATCAGTGTTAATCTTTTGTTTTTACAGACTTGAGGCAAGAAATTACTATAATAAAATAAGTTATTTTCTTTTAAGAAAAACTATAATTCATAACTTCTAGAGTTACATGTATACACAAACCAACAAAGCGAGCTATATTTAATAGAAAATATAGATACAGAGGCATCCTTCGATGTATAACATATAATGAAGTTAACAAAATGTATTGTCCCCCCAGCACCTGTCCCTGCTGCTGAACCTGTTCTGTAATGAGAAACTCCACCCTATAGACGGGTCCTGCTGCCAGCCTTTCCACCCTCCTTCACTACTGCAGGTCGGGACTGGCGTCTTCTTTGGACTCTGGTAAGTATAAACTGGTAGTAAACTACTACATGTAGGACTTAACCTGGAAGGTGATCAAAATTGTAAATATGTGCAATGATAAAGAAATTTTGTTACATCTTGTTAAAGAGAAGATAAATGCTATGTTTGAAATGCCAATATGGTTTCTGAAATGATGTGTAACGCTCAGTCTTTAATTTGTGATTTTTGCATTTGGATACATGACAGTGTCAATAGATATTTTATCAGCATGCAAAAGTGCTTTGGTAATTGGGCATGTTGTGCATGTCATTTCTTGTTTCTCATGCCTTGTGTTGTTTGTTCCAGTATGGTGGGAGCTATGCTGTTCTCTGTGACCAGAGGAAGAACACCTTCTATGTCTGAAGGTAAGTACTGTCAACTGGTACTCACTTAGCAGATATGCTAGGAGATTCTTTTTGTTAGATTGCTTTAAACACTGCCTGGATAGATTTAAGGCTTTGTTATCACAAATTGATGTAATACAGAAGATTCAAACTCACTGCAAGTAGATTTTGTGGCAATGTGAAAATCAAGAGTTCCTGGTATATCTCAGTTTGCAGTTGAAACAGTAGTAGTAACAATGGAAATAGGAGCAAATGTTAAATGTTAAATCAATGTGGTTGTAGGTTGTCAGCACATGCCTGGTGATAGTATGACCATAAGGGTATCTCTGTTACTAACTGACATGTTTGTGTCACAGATGCAGAGACAGCACAGAACCAGAAGAAGACAAAAAGCACAGCAGAGATAGCCAGGACCGCACTAGTGGCACTTGCCAAGTTTGGAGTTATCATGGCTTACTTCTACGTTTGTGACAGGTGTGCACTGTTATCAAATCCTCTTGTTTATTACTAGCTTATTGTGTTGAATTTTAACCCTATGGTATATGATTCTGTAAGGTACATGGGTATGGCATTGTCAGACTAACGGCTGCCATGTTGTTTTACCCAGAACCCCCGTCTTCATGAAGGAGAACAAACACTTCACACACCTGCAGTTCTTTGTGCCGTTTGTCTGGGTGCTTGTGGTTGGTCTGTTCTTCCACTCTGACACCAAACAGGTTAGTAAACAAATATCAAGACATTTATGTCAACTTAACAGTCACTTTGCCTACAATGTAGTATCAAAGCATTTCAGAATCTTTCCCAGAAATCTAAAACAGAGATACTTTATGAAACTAGGTAACAAAAGAGTAATATTCATTTCTGTTGTTGTGTTGTTTCATCATTTTTCTGCAGACTTCTATCTTGAACCGTGACCAGACAGATGAATGGAAAGGTTGGATGCAGCTGGTTATACTGGTGTATCACTACACAGGGGCCAGTTCTGTAAGTATCCATAACACATAGTTCCCAGTAGTGTGTTTTGTTACCTGGGCCATGACAACTTTCAACACACATGTTCTAGACCAAGTGATAAAGTATTAAATGGGCGTCTTGTATCACACTGGCTTCCATATACTTAGAACAATTTGAATGTATGTGCTGCCATCAAAAATTTGAATTCTAGATTGGACATATGACTACACTGTGTTGTGTTTTCAGTCATGTATTATTGCTTGCAGCTATATATGATATTCTCCTCACACACATACATGGTAAATGCTACATTGCACAAATGTCCCTGTATTTTTTCCGCAGTACCTCCCCATCTACATGCACATCCGTATCCTGGTGGCCATGTACCTGTTCCAGACAGGATACGGACACTTCTTCTACTTCTGGATGAAGGGTGACTACGGCATCGTCAGGCTCTGTCAGGTGGGTTATTCTGTCATAAAATGTTCTGAAAACCTTTAGAGACTAGAGGAAGGATATACTTATAGACACTTATGACAAGTGTCAATCATTTTGAGAACATCAGTAGTACAAAAAAATGTAGTATTATTGTCATGACTTTTAAATGTTGGAAGTGGGCAACCAAAAGTTCCAGGTTGTCCAGTGTGCAACCAAGGACGTTCTTGGTGCAACCTTGTCTGAAAAAATGTATTTTAGTCACAAGTTCCTTGTGTGTTTTTTGCCCATCTTTTTTCCACCTTTTGTATTAGAATTGGGGTCAGAATGTCAGTCCTACAGTAATTTTTTTGTATCTTGAATGGAGAAGTTTGATTGACATGTTTCCGATCGCTGTCGCAGGTGAACTTCCGTCTGAACTTCCTGGTGGTGTTCCTGTGCATGGTGATGGACCGGCCGTACCAGTTCTACTACTTCGTGCCGCTGGTCACCTTCTGGTTCTTCGTGGTGTACGGCACCATGGCCGTCCTGCCGAGGGTCACCGCAAAGTCCTCAGGAGGTACGCTGGCTTCTTTAAGCAGTAGTACTAAGATTCTGAAAGAGATGGTGTTTTTTTAGGTGGTGCAGTAGTGAAGTATTTTTTTAAATGTACAGTGTTTCTGTACAATTCTTAACTGGTCGTTTGGAAGTGCATGATTTTGAGCTGTACCCCCAATGCAATGCTGTCACTGTCATTTTTTCAGTTTTCTGAGGTGTGGCATGGTATTGTTGCTTGGGGGTCAATGTGTGTGTGAGAGTGCATGTACACATAAGATAACGTAGGAGGGAATATACATGTACATGTAAAAGTATTGCACGCTCTAATTTGTGCATGATACTGTTGGCATATCATTTCTCTGGAGTGGCAAGTTTTGGGTATCACACACTAGCTTACTGGGACTGTAACGAAAGTGTACATCATTGGTTTATTTGCACCTCTACAACACTTCCAGAATTCCATACCATGTGAATAGGGTTCCACCTATATATATCTTGCAATTTTCTCTGTCACCACCTACATTGTATCCCTGCCCTTCTTCTTTCCCCCAACACAGCCTCTTTTTAAATGCTAATCTATTGCTGCACTATCCCCCATGGAAGCCCCTTACCATTCAATCTGCAGTATTGTCTATTTCCCTAAGAGAGCCTCTCACCATGTTCTCCCCCATACCGAGCCTCAAACTATCTGCACATGCATTCTTTTCACTCGCTGTTCCTAGCTTTTAAGAAGTGGTGTTTACCAAAAGTGTTGCCACAAACAAACTGAAAATTATACATGAAAACATACAGCACAAGCCGGTGACAAGGGTTTATTTTAAGAACATAAACACGTATATGTGGTTTGCAAAATGGTGTATGTTTTGTTGGTTTTTTTTGTAACTTTTGTTATTTTTTGTAACTTTTCATTTCTTATGTAAGTTTTTTTGCTGAAACATTTTCACCAATTAATCAGCATTGAATTACAAATACAAACGCAAAATTTACAACAAAAGTAACAGAGTTATTAACTGATACTTAGTTACATCCATGCTACATCCATGCTTATTTTCTTCTTTATTTTATGGTTTGTAAGCCTAGGTTATGTAACATGTTATTTTTACTGACATTACTGCTTTGTTTTCCGTGCTGTTTTGGGCCACCTTTACTATTCAGGCGCTGCCAACATGCCTGAAGCTTCTGGTTGTACAGCAAGGCTGTCCTTCAGTGCCGCTGGTCAGTTCTACTACAGTGTTATCAATCAATAAATCAATTAATTGATCAATAAATCCTAATGATACAGGCCAGCCTTACATGTAGCTGCACCTTGCAACAGCCAAGCACCCTGCCAATGATCAGAATTCTTTAATTGTATTCAATACAGTAACTGCACACTTTTAGCAATCACAGTAGTATACAAGTAAGTCTGTATACCCATAGGGACAAGAGGTCAATTCAGAGGGCTTTGTTACAATGAGGGTACCAATATGCATACAGAAGGTGCTGCACTTCTCACTGTGGTGTATAAGGATAACATACATATGTACCCTAGCCCATAACCCCCAAATTTTCTAAGAGACTTCTGCCAACAGCCACCTCCAACAGAAATCCTCTTCCAAAGATTCCTCATACCTGTAGCCCCATGTTATCACTCAGGCAACAGCCTCTCCCCCAGGAGTGCATTTATGAGATTATACCCCTCCAACATTGTAAATAACACAGTTGTTTGTTGTTTATTGTGCAGACAACAGCTCAGGATTTGTGCTGATGATGTTCAAGCTGCTGGTACTGTGTGGGATCATCGCCCTTCTGGCCTCCATGCAGGTAAGTAACAACATACACTAAGTAACTTTATTGTGATGATTATGGCACTGTTAAAATTGTCAGTATTGGAAGAAAAAGTTTTAAGGTTCATATGATGTACAACATATTGCACAGATGTCCATGCATGTGTGTGTATATTTTTGTGTTTGTATGGCTCTACATGGTTGCTGTTCCCTTGTACAGGTGCTGTTTGAGTCGCTGTTCTCCTGGTGGCCAGCTGTGCAGCTGTTCCAGCTGGATGGCTCCATAAGAGAGTGGTGGTTCAGGTGGCAGTTAGACAGATATGTGAGTTTCTCATATTTTTCTACTGTTCATTTTTCAATATCTTGTTCCCTTGATTAGACAATGATATTTGAGATGTACTCATTGCCATTGAACATATAGAGCTGGTTATAATTTTTGATATCCTGCCAAGATCATATGTAATGTCAACATATTATGGCTTTTAGTCTAATGCTGATTGATAATAATATCTTTTCCCCCAGGCGGTGTCCTACGGCATGTTTTTCGCCTTCACGTACCTCGGCCTGAAGAAGCTGCAGATTATTGATGACAGTTTCCATGGTAACCTGTTCACCCCGTGTGTCACGTACCTGATCGTCACCCTGTCAGTCTGTATCACACTGGTGAGTACTGGACTGCTTAGGAAATGTTGGAAAATTACAGTTATTTTTCAAAGAACTCCTTTTACCGCACTGAAAACAGTTCAGCACACTGTTCTAAGGCGGCAAAGTGGTCCTGTGGTTAGGGTTATTAACTTAGAATTTAAAGGTTCTGGGTTCGAATCCCTATCAGGCTTTAATGTTGTGCTCTTGGATAAGGCACTTTACACCTATTTCCTCACTAGAAAATGAGTACCTAGCTTCAGGTAGGGGTATCCTCTTGGATAGGACATAAGTCAGATGTCCTGTGTTCTCTTGTATTAACTTCATTCTTTCCCACTGTTGATTTCCAGGGTTACACTGTATTTATGACCACTTGTAGCAGTAAAGTGGAATGTAACAGACTTCACCCTTACATATCCTTCCTACCGGTAAGTCCTCTATATTCTGTACATGTTTGCCTTTTCTCATATTTTGATACGTTGCTTGTTTTTAATTCTCCCGTCACTGCAAATAAAAATGAAGCCCTCTGTGTTTGTTTCATTAATGCCTGTTCTTTTTTCCCTCAGATCACTTCCTTCATCCTTGTAAGAAATATTCCAGGTTACCTGAGATCACGGTACAGTACATTCTTTGCCTGGTTTGGCAAGATTTCTTTAGAGGTGAGTTGGTGACTACAAGACTGTTTAGCAATGTCATTGACATGTCTTGTTTTTTTGCCATCTAAGAAATTGTAATGTTGCACACAAAAAACAGATGGAAGAAAATAGGGGGTATAGAATGCTACTTCGTTGTGGTAGTGGATAGAGCAACAACTGGATACATGGGACATCATTACTAGTTTATGAATGAATGTTGCCATTTTTTGTCCCAGTTATTTATAGGGCAGTATCACATCTGGCTGGCAGCAGACACCAAAGGCATCCTTGTGGTCATCCCAGGGTACCACACCCTCAACATGCTGGTCACTTCCTTCATCTTTGTCTGCGTGGCGCACGAGATCTCAGCAGTGACCGGCACGCTGGCCACCACACTGGTCCCCAAGGACTTCAACACTGTGCTGCAGAGGCTGGTCATGTTCGCGCTGTTCCTCTGCCTGATGCTGCTATACGGACACTTTGGGGACAAGATACAGCTGTTCTAGTCAAGCTGTACTTGCTGTACAGACAAGCCTTCAGCTGCACTGGCACTTCAAAAGAGAAGCTATGAGTATAGCTATACAGACATAGTACAGCTGTTCCTGAGGTCATCTGGAAGAAGTAGAGCTATTCTAGTACTATTATTTAGGTCAATCAAAGGTAGACTTTCACGGTGCTAGTGCTGTTCTCTGAGTCAGCTGCAAGCTAGACTACAGCTGGTGTAGTGCTGTTCCTAAGACAGTGCTGCTGTACCTTACCTTAGGCCCTTCCTAAACTTCCAGGGTTTCATCAGTCAACTTAGAGATACAGCACTTAGAAAATAGACTGGAATGCTAAATTTACAGCTGTCCAAGTGCTATACCAGGGGTCATATGGAAGCTAAAGTTGCTGGAGTAGTGCTGTTCCTAGGTTGGTACTGCTGTTCAACAGTATCGGTACTTACATGTAACTTGTGGTGCTGCTATGTCAAGAGACTGTAACTGTAGCAGTGTTATTCCTCATAAGAGCAGTACTGCTTTCTTAAGATTTGGGAGCTACGGTGTATATTAGAACTGTGTCTGTAATTTTGTTCTTGTAATATAGTTTTTTGCTGCTTTATGGACAATTGGAGGCTATGTTATAAGCTGTATTATATACATTTGTGCTGTTCCGTACATGTGCCAAGGGTGCTGCTATGAGAGAAAGTGACCACTTTTGAGTATGTTAAAAAGGCTCTACAAATGAAGGAACACTTAAAGTCAAATTTATAACCACCAAATAGACCCTAGCACGTGTACAGACAGGAGCAGTCCATTATCAAATTTCATATCATTATTTCCTAGAGGTTTAAGTTATTGTATATATAAGGTGGTATGGGGGTGAATATAATCAGTTAGGAATATGCCAATGTAATTTGTTGCCTTTGTGATTTACCTAGGTTTCTGAGTGCCATTTCAAATTTATAATGGTAAAAGATGGCAATTCCAAGAGATTATAAGTGTACACTTGTAAGATGTGTCTTTATCATATAGGGTCTGAAAGATTTTTTCTGGTGCAGATTTTGTGCCCTCAGGATTATAAGATTGTCCGACACCAATGGCAAACATTATGGGTTGTATAGTTTATTTATATGTATAATATCAAATATGTATGGTGTCTATACATACATGTATGTAAAGGTATGAATTCTACTGAGAACACTAGTGTATTTATGTGTGTATGTTGTTAGACTGTCTGTGGGAGAAGTATGTTTATACTATGGTGGACATTAGGAAGGTGCAGCTATGACTTAGGTTAACTGTATGTATGTACATGTACAGTGTACTTAATATGATCACTACTGAATCTTATGTGTACAATCAGGAACTTCAACACAGGTTGTAAGCTAGTCAATAGTTGCCGACCCCAGCCAACGAGAGATTGTGTCAACACAGGCTAGTTGTAAGTTGTAAGTATATGATGCTGTCTAGTGTGAATACACAAGTCAGAGTTACTGATCTTGAAAAGAACACAAACACATTTTACTTCCCTATTGTCTTTATTCTTGCATGGTGTGATACACATATTTGTCAATTCAAGCAGATGGTGCCAGATAGCCCTTATTTTATGTCTTCTTTTGTCCACTAAAGTATAATGAAAACTATTTCTAGAAATCCATCGCTCTTTAGTTTGGTGCCATAAAATAATGAAAATCCAAAGGTTGCCATTTTCTCTCCTACATGTTTAGGAATTCATCCATAAGAAGATTCTTTAAGAATCCAAAGCAAAACTTATTTTTCTTTCAAAATTCAGCTTCCTACGTTAGGAGTAAAATAAGAATAAGTTGTCTAAAATACAACATAGAATTTCCAGGTCTTTTAAAGACTATTTTTTAAAGTTATGGAGGTCAATTTTTGGTTTCCCAAAAAGTTACCTAAGCTTATTTCTAGTCAGGCTTTTGAGGCCCTTTTGGAGAATTTTCTTCTCTTCATTCCTCATGGCCACCACCAGCTGTCTGACTGGGGTGTTGGACTCCTCTAGGATAGCTGCATCATCCTGAAAATAATGGGACATTGTGGCTTATAAAGTTTTAATACCATCAAACGACTGTATCCTATCATTTGTCTTGCGTATAAAACAGGTGAAACTCAAGCTGATCACTGTAAGCCAATGGAAAGCATTTCAGCACCAAGGGCAGGTTGCAGCTGCACTATCAATGGTACACGCACTAGCGCCTCCTATCGGCTCATAACTGACGTGCAGATACACATGAGCACAACAGCAATGATACTTTTGTGCTTTCTGTCAGTTTATCTGATAACCTTGACATAGCAATCCGGCTCATAATTATCAGTCAAGGGTTGAATTTCTAGTACAAATTGTACATGTCTAGGCCAATGACTCCTTAGGTGCACAACAATCATTACTGACATTGCCTCAATACTAGTAGATGGATGGTAGTCTACGTGAATAATAATGGCTGGCTTACCATAATTCCGTACGAGATGAGCCGTCTCTCCAGTAATTCCTGAGCCAGACTCCTGGCCTGAACAGACACCGGATGGTCCCACGGCAGGTCATCCGCCAGGACTTTCTTAAATAGCGGTCTGGGGAAATCAGCACAGCCGTTTAGACGATTTTGCATTTCCAGGGAAAAGATTGTTTCACACAAATATAACGATAATTCTTTAACATGTATATTTAGTTCTTACACACGAAAGAAGTCACAATTTTTTTGTTTGTTAAAACATACGAGAACGGAAAAGGCAACGTTCACCTGTCCTCTGAGTCACAGACCAGGATCCTCATAACCGTCATGAGAGTCCTGGACACACCCCGGTAGTCACACGTCAGGTCACTGGGAAGGGTCAACAATCGGGCAGTTATTATAAGGGGAAATCTCCTGAAGGTCTCTTTTCTAGCTTACTCTTTCAAAGAATGAAATTTACAGTTTCATGTAGTGGCATGCTATTTCTGTCCATCTATAACATGGCTTAGCTTAGGTGCTATACTGTTATAGGGTTATAGGTTAGGACAAAAAAAACTTTATTAATTCTGATCTTAGGGGTGATGTCAGCCCATATATCAGTTTTCATAGGCTGTGTAAAGAAATAAAAACGCCATCATAACGGTAAAGAATCCAAAGGTGTTACATAATCAAAGAGGAAAAGCTATGATGGGGAGCAAAAAAGAAATAATGCGCACCTTGCTGTATATTTTGTGGCGATGAGAAGAACTTTTTTCCGCCGATGTTTCGGATCTTCCTCTTCAAAAGGCATCAATTCTAAGATCCTGAGGATGTCTTTAACTGAAAAAAAGAACGTTAAAAATCCAAGGTGACGCAGGTTACATGTGTATCGTAGATAGAATGCATTGCCATATCAATAGCTTTAATTTCTGCACAAACGAGGAAACTGTTAACATGGGATTCTGTATATACTTACCGAGGAAGAATTTGATGAGGTCTAGATGGTTGTCAGGAAGAACAAAACCGTAATTCAGGAGTAACGTCTGGTTATCCGCCCGGCGGTAGCAGAACAGGACCTGGTCACCCCTGCTGTATTCTTCCTCCGCCGTCACCGTATAAAAGTAGTCCCCGTTCTTACAGGATTTCTTGATCAACAAACCAGTCTGTAGGGAGAGATTTAAAAAATCTATTATAAACTTATCTATTAAAAAATTTTGTTTGAAAATGTGTGTCCGATTGCGTTTCTACCCCGAATTGTCATGTGGAGCATGATAAAGATATTGTTTGTTTGTTTGTTTATTTGTTTGTTTTTCTCACAGTTGATGATATATCTTATTAACCTTCTCTCCAGTGCTTAAAATTAACCAATCATATTAAAGACAGGTTCTGACCCGAGCACTGTGGGAGTGGTTCAGAAGGTCCACCATGGGAACGAGAGAGGTGACGCCCAGCCCGCTCTTGTCCAGGTTCCTGAGTACAGAGCTGCCCTTGTCGTCCACGTACAGAGATCGGGTCTTCACTGTACACCAAGCCCATCTGAAACAGGTAGGCTCTCTTTATTACAAAGAAGAAACTTTTTCTAGCTACTAAAACTCCGTTGAGATCAGGGAAAGTTCTTTTGCTCCTTTGCCCTCGGATAGCATCTTTTTTCGCATATTTAATTTTCCTATGTCTAGTACCCAGTCGACTATTAAAAATTATCTTCTCAAAACAATTGAAAATAAGAAGAAAATTGATACCTGTAAGCTTCAAACGTGAAGACGTCTTCCCAGTCAGGCAATAGCGGCTCAAGACTCGCGAAGAAAGGCTTCAGTTCCTCAAAACTCTGGATACATTCCTGTTTCTTGGCCTTGACGTTAGCCCTGAGTGAAGGCGGGAGGTAGAGAAAGTCCTGTTCTCCGAAGTAGACCGGGTGCGTGTACTCGTCTGGCAGGATGTCCAAGTAAGGTTTCCAAAAGGAGGTCTCGCCCAGGTGTTTCTGGTAGATGAGGAAGGTGGTTATGGCCTGGATGGTCGTCAGCTGGGGTTCCGCACTGCAGTTTTAAAGAAAAGATAGAATGCTGGATGAAAAACTAAAACTTTTAGTAATGTAAATGTATGGATGTCCACTGCTTTTTTTTCAACGGCGCTGATCTAGAAATGTCAAGCTGTTAAATGCGGTTACTGGTTAATTAATATAAAACTGACTTACGTTTCGATGTAGGGTCCCATCTCTGAGGCTAGAACTGTCTTAGTGGAGAGGATCAAGTTTTGAGGCATCTTCATCATTGTCTGTCCCCGCTAAAATACAAACAAAAAATTCTCTAGTTAGTTGCTGTTTTAAAAATGTATTAGCCAATGAGTAACCAGGGAGAGGGCGTGAGCCTGAAATTTGAGGAGCGTTAATGCTAGAAAAATATATATACCTTGATTTTCCGTGGTACCATAAGACCGCGCCCGGTATCTAAGGGGAAAGAGATCAAGTCATGATTTACATAAACAGTCGCAGGCCATACTGTGAATAACGTCATATAAGATTTCTCAAGAACGTAGACAATTATCGAATTACCGCTAAATAGGCTTTCTAAAAATTCCCAGACACACATGTCGGATGGACTGAGCCTTGCTTCTATCACATATAACGAATTAAGGAGATGGTGGGTTGACAAGATTGTATCAATACCTTAGTTACCATTCTCATCAGATCTTAAAAGTAGCAAAAGAATTACCTGGGAAAAGAGCGGGTCGCAGGAAGAAGCCATCAAAACCGTTCTTCTTCAAGAACCGGAAGAACCGTATGTAGTGTTCTTCCTGACCGAGAGAAACTGTGAGAATCAGAAGGACAAAAATTACTGTTAACGTTACAAGATAGAATTTCGTTAATCTACTCTTCTTATCTGTGTGTACTTTCTCTATACCAAACCTATCATTTTGACCGCATAAACCATAAGATTTCCTCTTTTAGACGTCAAAGTCATCATTCAGTTCATGATAACACTTTCTTTGGCCACTATAATTTTGAAAGTTGTCGCTGCAAAACATATCTACAAATTCTCAGTGAAACCCCATCTCACACAGGTATGTTCCCAAGGATATAGTAAAACCAATCGTAACCCATTTGTTTGATTTATGGCTATTCTAAGCGATGATATGACAAGGTCACATACTTGGTCAACAGCTTAACCATTAGTCAATGTCATCATCTAGCATATTAATTCTGCTTATTTTTAGGCGTGTCCCTAGAAGTAAAACGAGACACATATCTGTTCAAATTTACGGCTTTAGGAAACAAGTCACGGTCTGACTCGATAGTTTTTCCATCTCAAATAACGTTGACGATATACGAACAATAATATCAATGTAAAAACTGCAGATCACACACGATTTACATATTGTATTGCCAATCAAAAGAAATATTCAGGACGTATGGCAACTTCCCTGGTCTAACACCACATTACATATGGTATTGCTAGCCGAAAGAAACATTTCATGACATATGATGGAAAACTTACTTGGTCTGTTTTCTTTCTTACGCTGCCTTCTACGTCTCCAAGTCCGACCCCGCTTACCCGCCATGGCTGGAGTTAAAGAGTGAAAAACGGGCTTCAGACTTTAACAAATACTCGGCATATTTCCTCCTCACTTCTTGCAACAGTTCCTCACTTTCGTCACTTCAACACAAGACTAATCACAGATGTTCTTTGATTTCACTTTGTCGTTACTCTTGTCATATCTTTCACTACATGTTACTAACCAGGCTGTCAGCTATTTAAAACCAGTCTGGCCTGTGTCCTCCCGACGGTTTGTTATTATTCACCACGTCCATGCTCTGTCAGTAACATATTAGGGCTTGACCCGACCGGCGCTATTTCTGGACATGGGTACTGGATACGAGGTTCCGATCGTAATGGCGTCGAAATTGCCAAGCAGTTTATATAACTGTGGCACATGTTTTAACCAGACTATCGTGTGCCCTCAGCGTAACGTTACTGGCAATGTTTTCTCAACTGTTTAACGAGATATGAGTCGCTGTGTATAGTATTCCTTTGGTCAGGCAAAGACGCTTTCATTGAGAAACAGTGTACCAAACATTGTATATTCCACTTGCAGTGTAGATTTTGACAGCAAACGATACACTAGCTATATGGTAGTAGTATCCATAGAACATAGTTAAGTAAAGAACTGTCAACACCAATAAACACACATAATTGTGATAAAAGTGAAGATGGGACAACTTTACCTAGGCCTTACCTCGTGGTCACCCCGGTCTGAACACTTATAGCCACTTATAACCAGCCGCAGTCGCTGAACATGCAGACAGTTCACCGGTACCCGGGAGGATTCGTTTCTGTTAGGGTAGGGGATGGCTGATGCTGATGTATATATATGGCCAGGACTTGCCGGTCGTATGTACTGGTAGTATAAGTTCTATATCGCTCCCTTGAAATACAGGTGCAGCAGTATTGGGAGTGGGACAATTCAGACAGGTGTACGAGTCAACCTCTACTGGTCGGAATTAGTTTAAACAGCTTTTTTATCTGTCTCAGGTAGTTGTATGTAGGTGTACAGGACAAGTCTAATACTAGTAATGCGCGAGTGTCGGAATGAAAACTTCTCAATGGATCGTCCCGCCCCTTGCATTAATGAAGACAGTAAACAAAGCCTTTGGTTGCCAGACGCCGAGACAAATATAGACATTTGTGGGGAGCGCAGCTGGGCTTCGACTCTGAGCAGGTCTCGCTTCTGTCATAATATTTACCGCCCATCTCAATTTGCGTCTCCTGGGACAGAGTCCTTGCGAGCTCCGAGAAAACTGCAGGAGCAGTTTCTAGTTTGTTTTTCCGGCATACACGTATTGTGACTCAGTGAAGTTCTAGCAGTTTTAGACATATCAATTATAGCAACTATGAACGAATAATTTCACTTCGCAAAATCGATTGCAAGGCAGTGATGCTATTTAGAACATAGTCAGTTGTTACGGGCTATCAATTCATATTAGATGGTCTCACGGCCAAGCCTGTACAAGGCTATCAGCCCCCTTTGAGTACCCCATGGCCAGGCCTGTTCCAGGCTATCAATTCATTTTGAAAATGTTGTCATATTAGACCATTGTCTGTTAGAAATGTTGATTTCTTGATTTCGACCATTCACTGTAAGCTGTGTGATTATTTATTGAGCATTAGCGTTTTCCTATGAGTCTTTTATGGTTTGTAGTATGACGCAATCACGCAACCACATTACTCTCCAAGCAGAGGTTTGGTTTGGGGTTATTTTTGGCGTGTTTTTAGGCATTTTCATCGTGGTTTCTCTTTTGCACTGGAATTTTGCCTACGTTTTCAATCAAGATAGAACTGCAATAGCCTCCTTTTCAGGCGTTCCCGGATCGGT